ACAGTTTTAAAATCTAACTAAGAAATTTTGACACCAAACTGGTGTACAGGCTCTATTTGCCATTCACTTCTATCAGAGTAATATTGTATTATTATGTACATGTACTTGAGTTTAACCCTATTGAGTACCTTAATGTCACCCGCCAAAATTTAGAGCAACATTTTGTTCACATTTATGTATTTTTCTATAATTTATTTGTTAATTTTGGATCAGATTAACCTAATTACAAGTTTTTCATCACAATTTTGGAAAATTAGGAAAAAATTTGAATTTATTTTTTTAATTTTGAAAAAAGTTTACTTAGATGCTCAAATTGTTGGATGGGAAAAAAAGATAACTTACGAGAAACATTGCAAATGATGACATGAATCCTTCTTTAATAATCTCCCATATACCGCCATACTCGTCTTCGTCTATCCTTTGATACGCCATTGAGTAGACATAAGTTACGCCAGCATTCACTGCACCAAATCTAGCAGATATACAATTTACAAATCAAGGGTGAATAAACAAGGGCATGAACATTTTATACAGGTGTATGACGAGATCTCACAGCAAACCAAGTTTAATTGTGAAGAATATAGGTGAGTACCGGGAGTACAGAAGCCACCCATCATCAACAAAAGTTTTAAACCATTACTGGTACATTACATGTGGAATGTGTGAATGATGCAGTTTTTAATTGAGGAATAGTTTCAAAATCATTCTGTGTGCTAACACTTGACACTGCTGGTACATGAAGTGAAAACATTGCTACGGTACTTCTGAATCAATGACCAGCATGCCTCATCGATACATTGTATGAATACACAAGATGGAAAGTTTATTTCTTGTCACCCAACACTACCAGTAAACTTCAATGTTTTTAATAAAACATTTCCTTTGTCATTAATGTACTTTATAATTATCCTCTCCTATACCTTGACCTATAAGGTTAACTTACAGTCCAATACCCACAATGCCTTGCAGTGGAACAACACCCCATATAGCGCCAACTATAAGAGATAAAATCTGTTTCATCCAGTAAACTACATCCAAGAACTCATCCTGCAATACAAAGTTGAATCCATTAGAAATTTCTTAAAGTATTGTCAACAACTAGAAGTTACACAAGATAGACGTTGAAAACGTTGTCTAATAGAGACCATTAAAATTATAAGTCTGATACTAGTAATAATCAAGTAATACATAGTGTAATATTCATTCTTATACATCCATCAACGTAACCCATAAGTTACAGCATGCCGTAATTTTGCGGTATTGCACTGCGTATATTCATCCTACCATATTAGGAAATGTGAATTCCAAATGATTACGCATGTACAGTGTAAGCATACTCTAAAGATAAAAAACAAACATGGCTGACCCCAGGGTTTGATCGAACCCCACACAAAGAAGATTGCTAAATCTGTTAAACGTTTTGGATTTCAGCATTCCCATGATGTATCCTTGGGAGGAAAAGATATACAAGTATAATAACTTCATATTATACAAGCATTTCAATTGCCTAAATATGTCATTCTGATTAGCCAAGAATATATGTTTTTTATTTGGGCAAACTACAGGCATACATATGGTTTTCTGTGTTTAGACCCAAATGTCAATAACACACACAAAAATTTTTAAATCCTTTCGTCAACAGAGATTGGCAAAAATAATATTTTACACTAAAGATGTAGCACATAATCACGAAAAATGCAACCTTCAGATATTTTGGGTTCAAAAGCAAGGCATGGGGAAAAATAATTTTTTAGAATTACGCACACAATGCCAAACAAACGATTACTGTCTGCCACAATCCTCAAATTGCAATCCTGTGTACAGTGTCTGTATTTTTTTGAAATTATGTCAATTTAGGATGATTACACATATATCAACATTGCAGCTGACAAGTAACTACATTAATATTTACCTTGCATTGCTGAACAATGGGCGGAATTTATGTCACTGCTCAAAGTATTTATAATCATTGTATGCTAGTTCCAGGGTACATTTCACTTAACGGTTGCAAATATGTTGTATCACATTTGAACATGGTTTTTGTGCTTTAAAATCATTTTCTTTATTTCTGTAT